GTGTTGCGATCGGCGTTGAGTTTTTGCGGTATTGGGCAGAGCAGTCGGCACAGACCGAACATTCTATCGCGTGACTTGTGTTTTGCTGGCGAGAAATGCTCCACGGAATACCTCTCACTGCCGTGATTTGTCGCTACCTAGAGCCGGACATGGAGCTAGGCTGGGAAACCTTTGAGGGACTGTTATTATTGTGCGCTGGTAGTTTTTCGATAATTTTGGTCTGTCTCGAGATTGAGTGCTTGTAACAGGCAACGTTCAGCTCACCCTTGGTGACGGGTTATTTGTTGACCATGTGCACATCGACATTATTGCTGCCCGCCAGCTCTTGGCTGTTGCTCTTGGCTCCTGCGCTGTCACTAACGCCAAGCAGCGGGTGATGCTCCCTGTGGTCGGACACCAGCCAGCGACCGACATGCTCGCGATCCTGAGTGAATCCTAATTTCTCGGCACCCTATGTACTTCCTGCGGGGTTAGCCCTTGTGGGGGCCTTTCTGCTAAGTGGGCATTCTGTATGTAGGGAAGCACCGTGCCATGAGTCTGCTAGTCCGGCGTACGCAAGGTCCGATGTATTTAAATCCAGGGACTAGCCCGATCATGCCCAGAATGTGATATTTTATTCTGAAGATCTCCGGTATTGTCGCTGTCGTGCGTGTACTTCTGTCAGAAGATCTGAGTGCCTCCTATCGACATGCATTTAGCTCAGAGTTTTGTCTTGTCGTGCCTGGCGGTGACTGGTCTAGCTCTACCTAGCAATGACGGCCCTAAGCACCAGGAAAACAAGGCGCGCAGTGCGGGTTACTCTCTTAAGGAGCCCCCCTTGACAACGCCATGGACTGACAAAGTCGGAACGAACCCATGGCCCGAATATCCGCGGCCGTTGCTGCAACGTTCTGAATGGAAGAATCTCAACGGAGTGTGGAAGTACCAAAATGCTGCAGGCCTCGATGCTGTTCAGCAGCCACCCTTCGGGCAAGAGCTTGCACAGGATGTTTTGATCCCGTCGTGTCTTGAGAGTGGATTGTCCGGTAGGTTTTGCTCTGCCTGTTACCATCAAAAATTAACAAATATCTGCAGGGATCCAAAGCAATTGGGCTTTGTACTCTTGGTTTTCGACATCCTTCGAAGTATCTTCTTCTTGGAAGGGTGAGCAGGTATTGCTCAACTTTGGAGCTGTAGATTATGAAGCCACAGTCTTTGTCAACGGTGAAGAAGCAGGTTTCCACCGTGGTGGATACTTCCGCTTCACGGTAGACGTGACGAAGTACCTGAAGTTCGATCAGCCGAATGAACTGTGAGTATCCCAGGATCACAACGCAGTCGACTTGCATATCTGACTTCAAATACAGACTTGTATTTGTGCATGATCCTACTGACGATGGTGACTATGTTATTCCTATTGGAAAGCAGACCTTGAGACCTAGTCACATCTTTTATACCCCGTGCAGTGGCATATGGCAATCTGTTTGGCTTGAGGCTGCCCCATCTAACCACATTACCCAACTCGACCTTGACGCCAACATGGATGGTCAAGGTAAGTATCTAGTGTCAGTTTGTGGAAATACTTGCTTGATTCTGACTGTAAGCAGTAAACATCACTGTACACAGCTCCGCCAAGGAGACATCCACCCAGGCCGAGGTCACGGTCCACAAAGATGGCACGACTATTGCAACCCACCAAGGCCCCACCAATGAGCCATTCCAATTCACCGTACCTTCGCCCAAGCTCTGGTCCCCGGACTCGCCCGACTTATACAATGTGACTGTCAAGCTTGGCAACGATCAGGTGGAGAGCTATACTGGCTTCCGTACAATCTCACGGGGTAAGGTTGACGGGATTGAGCGACCCTTGCTCAATGGAGAATTCATTTTCATGTTCGGCACCTTGGACCAAGGCTATTGGCCCGATGGTTTGTATACGCCCCCCAGTAAGGAGGCGATGGTGTACGATTTAGAGATGCTAAAGAAGTTGGGATTCAACATGGTTCGCAAGCATGTAAGTGTCTCCGCATCGCATCGTATCCCATAGCTTCTCGTGCTCACACCGTCGAATGCAGATCAAAGTTGAAACCGATCTGTTCTATCAAGCATGCGATGAGCTCGGTCTGCTTGTAATCCAGGACATGCCTTCCCTGCGCCCGCTGCAGTCCCGGAGGGACGCAAACGGGAACTCGGTCACTATCCTACCAGACGAGAAGCAGCAGGCTGAGTTCGCCCGCCAGTTAGATGTGTTGATTAACCAGTTCAAGAGCTTCCCCAGTATTGTAACTTGGGTAAGTCAAGGTGTTTGGTCAGAGCCAGAGATATTCTGACGTTGACCACTATCTATAGGTCATCTACAACGAAGCCTGGGGCCAGATCACAGAATACTACCCCGAGTTTGAGCTGACCGAGCGGGTTCGACAGCTGGACCCCACTCGGCTTGTGGACTCGACGACAGGATGGGACGACCACGGCGCCGGAGACTTTAGTGTATGCGCCCTTCCAAGATTCCCCTGTGGCGCAACCACATGGCTAATTAACATATATTAGGACAACCACCACTATGCAAACCCACAATGTGGCGCTCCCTTCTATTCCACTCCCTCGAGCCCATATGATCCCACCCGGATTGGGTTCCAGGGTGAATTTGGTGGAATTGGGACCAACGTATCCATCGAGCATCTCTGGAACAACCAGGCAGCCATCAATACTATCGATCAAACCTACGAAATTGATACTACCATTGAGGCATGGAATTATCGCAGCCATCTTCTCCTGAACGAGCTCGAGGATCAGGTCCGCCTGTACGCATGCAGTGGGGGCGTCTGGACCCAGACGACCGATGTTGAGGGTGAGGTCAACGGCCTGCTTACATATGACCGTCGCGTGGCAAGAGTCGATGTGGAACAATGGCAGGCAGATATTAGGGCTCTTTATGACGCCGCTGCCGCACGGAGCAACGCGGCCGGGGAAAGCTCATAATGTATTTAGTGGACACACCACGTCATCCGAGGCTATTTGGATGAATGTGAATGTGATGTGTATGGAGTACTCCGTATATAACGTTATATCGGCTCATTATCCCGAAATGGAATCCCGAAATGGAAACAAACCCATATTTTCAAGAATGATCAATCGTGACCATTGATAAGGCCCGGGGATGGAGATCAGCACTCCGTGAGGTATTTGTTGCTTTATTCAACGCCCCCGTTTCACGATTCCTAATTAGATTTCTAATTAGATTTCTAATTAGACAACCCCGGGGCCGCTGTCGTCAAATCTCCCCAGAAACCGAATTAGATCAAAAACCTTGGAATCAAGCCGCTAAATTCATGGTACGCGGCAGTCTCAAGAATCAGCCCCTCACCAAGGCGGCAGTGATCGTCTATCGCGGCTGTTTTTGAAACGTTCCAGATTAAGCAGAGAACAATTAAAATAAAGTGAAATCCTCTCCGATCTACTCCGTATGTTGTCTCATTTTTGAGAATTAAAAGAATCCAAGCTCAATAGGAGGGGGGCCTCAAGTTTTGGCCCCTTTGCTTGAGTGAAAAATTTTCATTCCTTTAATAGATCATGCCATGTTCACTAGCCGGTCAACCCTCCCGGTGTAATCCCGATAGAATCCATCAGGCCATGCCATCACACGACACCAGTTTAGGTTTTAATAGATCCAACTATGTACTCCGTACTCTACTCCGTATACGGGTAGGGGTCTACGGAGTACGTCGCTCGACATGCATGTGTTTGCTGATTTTTCTACACTATTGAACGTTAGCTCCGATTGTCCCCTATTGTACGGAGTAGATTGTCGTGTGTCGGCCTGCAAAATCTGCATTCCTTCAGACCCACACATCCACCAGTTCGGTGTTTTTCAGAAGCGTATACGTATTAAGGGGCGTTGCAATTGTTCTCTGGGCCAATTGTATTGTCATCGTTGATTAGAATCAAGTTGGTGATCTCAAGATCTAAAGTTAAATTCTCATCAAGTCCCGATCAACTGACGATTAATCCACATCTACTTATTGCGAATACTAACTAGATCCTGATGTGCCCGGAAATCACCAGGTCCGCAGCTCAGTCGGACCCGAACGGAACCCACTTCGTCTCGGGTCCCGTCCCAGGCGAAACCGTTGAACCCGTAGCGGAGTCCAAATATTTGTAGCCAGTGAGCGAGAATGAAATGCAAATGCCGATAGATCCGTTTCAATTTAGTTCATTTGCTTTGTTGGGACGGGTAATGGTTCGCGGAAATGACATGTGTGATTTAGTGTTTTATGCCCCGGCATGTCAAAAACGCCATCTGATCGTACACTAAGATGATGAAGAGAAGTTTGAACCCTAGCCTGTTAAAGTTGAGATTGCAGTATTCGCTACGTTTTCCAAGTCGCTTGTTTCAATCTACCAAGTATGACACTACGGCAACGATGGATCCTGCCGTCCGTGGCTTATGCGTGTTTCGCTTGCTTCCCTTTTTTTTCTCTCTTTTTATGCTAGCTTGGAGATTACAGGGATCAGCCCACACCTACCTAGATGGTCACTCCACTTCCAAGATTTGAAGGGTAAGTAAATCATCTCACCCTATGGTCTGATTCGCCCATGGGTACTTTACTTACCCGTTGAACTGAAGCTTTGAGGAAGATCTCGGCTTGATATTACTGTGCTCGCATGAAACCGGGTAATATCGCTTTTCTGGGTAAGAGTCATCGGCCGTCTGGTTGCAGGATTGCCAAGAGCGGAGCCCCAATAGGATGGGGTTTACAGTTCGGTGGCTTTCGAAATGATCGTGTTGCATGCAATATAGAAGAACGGAGAACGGAGTAATCTGAACGGATATCGGGCATCTGTGGTATAAATACTCCATCCGCCACGAGTTTGCCACGCGCTTCCCCAGACTCACCTTCTCATTTTATACTCGATCTCCGATCTCCCTCCATACTTTTTTTTTCCAACTCTTTCAGACAAGACCCCAGCTGTTCGGAAGGGTAATTTTATACATACAAAAAGACACCAACACCAACAACATGGATTACAGTACGAGATCGGCTCCGGACCCCGTACATGTGGACCGGAAATTGTTGTACACAAGCTTGGAAGAGCGAATCAAATACCTCCATAGCTTCCTCGACTTCAACTCCAGTAAGCTCTTACCCTCAACCGATCTCCAGAGTCAGCCACAGTGACTAACATTTCCCTAGGCGATATCGAAGCACTGTTGACCGGCAACAAATACATCAAGCAATTGATCCCGGCAGTGGTCAACCTGGTATATAAGAAGCTTCTCCAATACGACATCACATCTCGGGCCTTCCACACACGAACAACAGTCGACGAGACCGAACCCGAGGAGGAATATCTCTCTGAAGAGGCACCAAAAATCAAGCGACGCAAGATGTTCCTGCGGTGGTACCTGACGCGGCTATGCCAGGACCCGACCACAATGGACTTTTGGCGGTACCTGGACAAGGTTGGGTAAGTTCACACAAGACTCTATCCTCCATCCACAGGGGTCAATTCTCTGTGCTTGTGCAACGCGCTAACGTGGGGTTTGGTAACACAGCTTGATGCACAGCGGAGTAGCACGCAGGACACCATTGAACATCGAGTACATTCACCTCGGCGTATGTCTGGGCTACATCCAAGACATCTGGATCGAAGCGATGCTGTCGCACCCGCACCTATCGCTGCGACGCAAGATCGCTCTCGTGCGCGCCGTCAACAAGATCCTCTGGATCCAGAACGATCTCTTCGCTCGATACCACTCGAGCGACGGCGAGGAGTTCATGGACGAGATGTCTGCGTTCAACTACGGCGAGGATGAGGAGGGTTACCTCGGCGATAAGCGCATTCTTGGCAGCAGCTCCGGTAGCTCGACCGAGGATGACAGGTCCAGTATCTCGAGTGGTGTGGCGCCTTCGATAAACAGTGTGGCGCCTTCGATAAACAGTGTGGCGCCTTCGATCAATAGTGTGGCGCCCTCGATAAATGCACCAGGAAGCGCGTCAACGCCATCCAAGGTGTCGGCGTGTCCTTTCGCGGAAATGAGCAAAAACAGCACTTCGTCCGAGACGAAGATTTGGGCCAATTGAAGGGGCCCCTGTGTTATTGAGCGGGTCATAATTAGCATCTTTCAGGCGCTTAGGGTTATGGATATAATGGGGTGATAGGGCTAGACTTGGAAGTCTGGGGATTTAGAAATACCTTTGGTCATTATAGACGCGTTGAAAATAATTCAAAAAGGTTTTGAGGAATTAAAATAGTCCCTGGGTATTCCATTCATCATCTATCTCGTTCATCTCGTTCATCTCGGCGGAATGGATCCGGCTTTGTCATCTTCTCTTCCCCACACAACTCCCGAGGTCGGCTATTATTCAAGGTAGTTGAAGAGCCTTTAGCATTTTATATCCGCAGACAGACCGGAGATAATTCATTAATCCGTTGGATCGCGACCCCAGACCCCGGAAATAACTAACCAATCTACGCTTTCAATAAAACAGTGAGCTATCAAAGTCTACCCCCTTTGTATCCCCACCACCCCCGCCACTCTTTTTGGAGAAGATCAGAGTTCCTATTAAATCAACTCAGCCCCTCCAATTGAATAGACCAATCCCTTTCTGTATTAAAGAGCATATCCTCCCGTATTTTCCTTCTCCAACTCCCCAAAACACCCACAATGGCGCATTCGAACAAAGCGGTGACCCCGCTTATCATCAATAATGAGTCCATTGAGACCGATATCAAATTTGAGGTCCACGCACCCGCCACTGGCGAGCTAAGTGGCTATTGTGCCGGTGTGTCAGTTGACGATGCCAACCGCGCAGTCGACAGTGCCCAGGCTGCCTTTCCCGCATGGCGCAAGACCAAGGCACAAGAGCGTCGCGACATCTTGTTGAAGGCCGCCGAAATTATGGCCTCGCGCAAAGAGGAACTGATCCAGTACCAGCGCGAGGAGACTGGTGCCGGTCGGCCCTTTTCGGAATTCACTTTCAACCTTGGTGTGCTCTTCATCAAGGAGTTCGCGGGTCGGATAACCACAATCGAGGGTATCGCGCCGAATGTCAGCGGCGAGGGCGAGGGAGCCATCGTATACAAGGAGCCGTACGGAGTAATTCTGTCAATTGCACCATGGTAAGCTTCGCGATTCGATCTGTGACATATACTGCAATTTATCAGCTGGCTTGGGACTCTTTTTTTAATTGAATTGCAGGAATGCTCCTTTCATCCTAGGTACGCGCGCCGTTGCGCTCCCTCTTGCGGCTGGAAACACCGTCGTGCTCAAGGGCTCCGAGCTCTCACCCAAGTGTTTCTGGGCTCTGGGCGACATCTTCCGCCAGGCTGGTCTTCCCGCTGGATGTCTGAACGTCATCTTCCATCAGCCCTCGGACGCTCCAGTCGTCACCAATGCGCTGATCGCCCACCCGGCTGTGCGCAAGATCAACTTCACTGGTAGCACAATGGTCGGCTCGATTATCGCATCTACGGCAGGTAAACACATCAAGCCTGTACTGCTCGAGCTGGGCGGTAAGGCGTCAGCGATTGTTTTGGACGATGCGAACTTGGAGAAGGCTGCTATGAACTGTGCCATTGGATCCTTCATGCACGTATGTATAACATAGTATTGATTCGATGGAGACAAGGATACCACATACTGACAAACGATACACAGTCCGGTCAAATCTGCATGTCGACCGAGCGGATTATCGTGCAGCGGTCGATCGCAGACGAGTTCCGGCAGATGCTTGCTGAGACAACTGAGAAGTTGTTCGGCAAGGATGCGCCCGCGCTAGTGCTAGTGAACACCGCAGCCGTCGCTAAGAACAAGAGGCTTGTGGCGGACGCTGTATCTCGCGGCGCTAAACTGCTTTTCGGCGACGCCAATGCAAGCGAGTCCGTCAACACAGGCATGCGGCCGATCGTCGTTGACGGTGTCACCAAGGAGATGGACATGTACGCGACCGAGTCGTTTGGTCCGACCGTGTCTCTCATGGTTGTGGACACCGAGGACGAAGCGATCGCACTCGCAAATGACACCGAATACGGTTTGACTGCGGCTCTGTACACCAACAACCTGTTCCGGGGGTTGCGGGTGGCTAAGCAAATTGACTCAGGGTGGGTTTTTGAGTTTCGAATATAGATCACATCATTTGGTGGAGATTGGATTGAGGCTGACTCTGTATTTTTCTTTTCTTTCTAGGGCCGTCCACATCAATTCTCTGACTGTACACGACGAGTCTGTCCTCCCTCACGGAGGATGGAAGAGTAGCGGCTTTGGTCGCTTCGGAGGAATTTCTGGATACGATGAATTCCTCCAGACTAAGACTGTTACCTGGCAGGAGTAAAGGCTAGACTCACAGGTACATACTTTACGACAATACAACATGCAACATTGTTGTACATAGCAGACCTGTTTGATTTGGCCCCGTTTTGGGTCCGTTTGGCCCCCGAGTGGATTGGGCCGCCACGGGTGACTGTTTCCCTAGTTTGTCTTGATGGGGCCTGTTGGGACTTGTTCTGGGCTTGTTTGGAGCCAAGTTGGGGTTTAGTTGGCTTTGATCTGAACCTTGCAGTCAATGCAGCCAATGATGGAGCCTTACGGCGTCGCCTAGAGGTGCTACCGAAGGATGCGATCCGGATACCCGGCTTACACGGTGTAGGCGACTTGGATGACTCGCAAAGGCTCTGTGTGATGTGATTTATGTTGCATCGGGTTCACAGCGTAGTATACAGTTATACGAAATATTTTGCGATCTTCTCTTTCCTTTTCTCTTTTTGGTTCGGAGCCTCCGCTTTATGTTGTAGGTCTGTCTCACTTTGGCCATGAGGCTGAAGGTCACATGATCTGTATTTTATCCCTCAAGTGGAATCTTAAAAAAATACGGAGTACTTGTTTGGGAATGAAAGAAAGGCTTGAGGCTATGAATAGAACTATGGCGGAATTCCAGGCTTATAAGACCCGGTAAAGAAACATTTGGACCTCGATAGCTGCGGCGAAGGCGCTGGCCACAAGTCCCACCCTAAATTCAGGCACAGGAACGTAGCAAATCACAGCATTTCGTCAGGTAAGACAAAATCCATTCTTTATTTTTACTTTCAGTTCTCCTTTTTACAGATCTTGATCCTTGGAAATGATCGATTACAATGTGTAAACAACATTGAATAACTATTATTTCGTACAATATACATACATACATGACCCCCCTGAATATCGCTGTTTAACCTGTTGATCTTTTCGATGGACATCACCCCCAATGAACCGGTGGGATCGGCGATTGCATTTGATACGGCACGGGCCTGTCGGTGTGGAGTTATGTCGCGATTGTCGTGATGATCGTGAATATCAGTGAATATCAGAATCTAACCCTGCAGGTTAGGTTTGAAATCCTGTTTCCCCCGTGGAAGCGACACATGGTACCTGCAAGGCACAGCGCCCTGTGCGGCTGCAATGAGGGCTTTGTTACAATACCTGTATGACGCCCGTCACAGGGCCTAAGCTTATGTTGTCAGGGCGCAATGCCGTAATATGGAATTTCCTGGTAATATTCTTTTATTATTCCTCGTTTTTCTAAACGAGAGTGGCGTAAATAAGGAAGATGAAGGACGGCTTGAAATGTATATATATATATACATCTAATTTCATGTTATAGTGGGACATACGTATACCTTTAATATACCTATAATATACTTATAATAGTGCAACATTGTAGAGATACTCCAAGAGGCTCAATGGCGACCATGGGTAATCCTCGGATCATGTTCCAACCTTGGAAGGGTTTTGGGTTCCACTCCTTTAGAAGGCTTAAAAAAATAAACAAATATGTCAACTACTTCCATGCCATTTTTAACCAAAGTCTCCATGCCTACATTCCTTTAAAAATTCATTTATGATACTTCTCCCTTAGCCCCAGTTTAGGAGTATTTTTTTATTAATCTTACATGACGGGATATTCTCTACATTAAGGGTCACCCGTTGTTAGAAACCAAATTAACTTCCGGGGTGTCCACCAATTAGAAACCGGTGCCTGTTCGTTATGATTATTACTTGACCTGTAATGCACATCCTGGCGTTATATTACAATAACATCTGAGCCACAGCCGACCCGCATGCCCCACGAGGAGATGATAATTGGGGGCACAAGACTGTCATATACGACAGGTGATCACATATACGAAGTACAGAGTACAGAGTACTGTACAACATATACAGTAATTATGGTATAGAGTAATTGTGATGGGTAGAACTCATACGGAGTATTTACAAATACAAGGAATAACCAGGGAAGTCAAAGCCACATTTGGAGTAAAAAAAGTAAAAAGTAAAATGTAAAATGTAGCCGAAATGAAGGTACCTAGGTAAGTGCTCGTTTGTGTCCTTTTTGGTTTTGGGGGATTTAGCGTCGACCCACTTGGGATGTGCCTCCGAGATAGAAATGAAGTTCGCCTGCCCTCCTTCTCTTTCCTTTCTCTTTCCTTTCTTTTCAACCATCTTCACAGTCCTTCTTTTTTTCGTTTTTCAACGATAGTCATTCTTTTATTTCCCACTTCAGTCATTCTTTGTCAATCTCGACACTAAATCACCATGCGTTTCTCCATCGCCACCGCTTTCTCCGCCCTCGTGGCTCTTTCTGTTGCCTACACTACTCCCGACTACACCAAGGACCCCAGCGGCAATGCCATCTCCTCCCCTGGTCTGAACGAGATCGTCCCCGAGGGCAAGACCTACACCATCAAGTGGACCCCCACCACCGTTGGCCCCATCTCCCTGGTCCTCCTGCGCGGTCCCTCCACCAACGTCGTTCCCCTCAAGACTCTCGCCGAGTCCATCCCCAACAGCGGCGAGTTCAAGTGGACTCCTGGCTCCGACCTTACGGCCGACACCACCCACTACGGTCTCCTCCTCGTTGTCGAGGGTACCGGCCAGTACCAGTACTCCACCCAGTTCGGTATCTCCGCCGCTGCCGGCTCCGTTTCCATTTCCAGCTCCTCCTCCACCGTCGAGGCCACCGAGACCGAGACCAGCGCCGCTGCCTCCGCCCCCGCTGCCTCTTCTACCGTCATCGAGAGCACCGTGATCACCACCACCATCTGCCCTGAGACTGAGACCACCGCTGCTGCCATCACCTCCGTCCCCAAGGTCATTCCCACCGGTGTCTCCCCCGTCAGCGCCGCCTCCAGCACCCCCCTGAGCTCCGTCCGTCTCACCACCAGCGCCATCCCCACTGGTACCGCCTCTGCTTCTCCTTCGGCCTCCTCCCCTGTTTTCAACAGCGCTGGCCGCAACGCTGCCAGCTTCGGTGTCGTCATGGCCGGTGTCCTCGCCGCTTTCGCCCTCTAAGCGCATTCTCTTAATATAGGATCGCGTGCCGATGGCATTTCTTTCTTTCTACTGTAAGCGCTGAAATAATGTTTGTTATTTTCATGAGGCTTAATTTATTGATATCTTGATATGGGTTTTCTGGATTCTGTCTTTCGGCTGGGTTTCCTCCATACCATGTTTTCTTCTTGTCTGCTATTTTTCTCGCATCTCTCTCAGCTATGGTTGCGTAATGTGAAGTTCATGTCCTTATGTTCCTTCCTCCTTGTAGGCTGGTTGCCTGTAGATCTTAGGGCATTGGTCGAGTTTTCACTCTACAGACTTGTACGCATCTAGCCCAATCTATGTATGTGTGGAGAGAAGGTAGTGTGATCGATAGGCTTGGTACGGGTGGATATCCCTCATTGCTATAAAATTACGTACATAGTTTCGTGGCGACATAATCTGGTAAAATAGGGGCAAAGAGAGGTCTGGCAAACACTGCCTGGGCAAGAACAGCTGCCCAGGTGAGCAAACGCCTACATCTTAGTACAGAAAACAAGTAGCAAACAGCCTAGGGCAGCAAATTGATTGCACTTGAAGATGCGATATAGTCAAGATCCGTTTGTGTATGAGGCAGACAGAAGAACTTGGACCCATCTACTTGCTGACAATAGAAGACATAATGACAAAAAGAAAAAAATATACACTATGACTCTCTTCACAGTCTAATGTAGTCCAGCCGACTTATTTTATTTTATTGTTATTTTGTTTATCAGCTAATATTAAGGAGAAGACTACTCCGTGCATCAATTAATTCGTTTTTTCTAGGCATCAAAGCTACTACCGCCCACGATTCATGCAGGTAGCTTTCTTTAATCCGGTGATATATCATGTCCTAGAGACTATATTTAGTATAAAACTCCCACCGTGAAGATATATATAGCAACCAGTCTCTTATTATCCCTTTGCTATCAATTTTAAGGGCCATACCTCTTTAGCATTTGTAACAGCCAAGTCTCTCTATAACTATAGTAACCCACAATGGACCAAGAGCGCCTTTTCTCCTGGGTTGTTTTCACCACCCTTCTCCTGCTACTCATGGCCTTTTTGAACCATTTGCTCACCCCAATGCTAGCCCTCCTAGCCTTTACAGCCCTCGGTTTCTTAGACGAGCTAGTAAATCGATTCCGCCTGTTCATACAGTTCTGATTTTCTGCTATGGGACCGTACGTCCCCAATTCCAAGCGCTACTTTGGTCGTCAGGTATCAGATTGAACATGACTATCAACACGTTTAGTTAGAATCTCTGATCTTTGACCCGCATTTTGACTCTACTCACGCTCACCAAAAGCACCGAATGTGTCGTCGAGTTGTTCGAAGATATTCGCAGACGGGCATTCAGAAGGTTCGACAGGTGTTTGGACTGGTCGGTCGTTTATCTTACTATGGTCGTGTATTGCTTGGGAAATGCCTGGAGGCTGTCTCGAATGGGATGGTGGGTGGATTGTTGACGTTGGAGGATGATCGCGGTAGACTTCTCGCGAGGATGGTGAATGACTTCCAGTATGGTCTATACGGGCCGGTTGTATACTCGGAATCGAACCTCTCTCTGATATCTCCCTCGGAAGATTTGTTTCCAGTCCCACTCTCAAGGCACCGGACATCTCTCGCTCGATCGTTACTTTCAGCAACTCTGTCAGAAGTTGCGCGGTTTGTTTCGCAATGCGATTATGTGGCCCAAAAGCTATACTGGCATGGATGATACGCATTATTCCAGCCTTGGCCTCGTGCGCAGCTGTAGTGAAAGGTTGACTAGTTGGCAGGATGCAAAGGATGACTCCTGCCGTAAATTGTTGTAGAGAAGCGAAGGATTCGGCGAAATGATGCTTGAAACGGAGGACTGGAATGCGAGATATTCGCAATGCAGCTGCAGTGGCCACTCTCAATGACTCGTGGATTGCGTCTACAACCGAGCGTGAGCAAGAACTGGTGATTTTCTGCTCGAGTAAAGGTCGACAGGCCTGTATCAGAGCTCCCTCGTATGTCAGTTGGAGAGTTGCGGCCTGCAAGATGATCGTTTCTGCCTGGTATTTAGTGCGTTGCGGTAATCCTTCGATTTGCTGTTGGAACTGCTCCAGGCGATCGTCGCAGCTCCAAAACTCGAAATCGAATAACCGAGGAACCCTTTTCCGCCAGCAGGTTAATTGTTCCGCTGAGTCTTGTGAGGCTTCTGCAATTTTCAGAAGGTCCTCTTCTATTGTCTCTTTTCTCAATTGGAGACGACGAAACCTCGAGATAATGTGTCGGATGATGTTGTAGATCTCATATTTCATAGCGAAAAACCCAGCTGTCGTTGTTGGCGTTCCATCACCAGATATCCATTCATTTTTCAGCAGAAGTGGATCAATGACTAGGTCATCTGTGTTTCTGAGCGGATGCAAAGCGATGAGCCCAGTTTCAATAGATGAAGGTCGTCCATAGATGATAGACGCAAAGGTGTCACCGACAATAGCTTGATTCCAACAGCGAGAGCGAATCTCATCCACGACTGGACTTTCACATTGGGTTGATTTTGTATAGAGATGAAGGGCATACGCAGATCTCACACCCATACCAGAGACAGTCCAAGCAATACTTGGCGAGCTATGGTAAACATAATAGCAGGACACCAAGAGGCAAACCTGGACAGCTTCGATTCGGCAGTCGATTGAGATATCGAGTAGATTCCGGCGTATCTCGTTAATCAACCCGTGTATCAACTTCTCTCCGTCAATGTAGTGTTCGCGGAACAATGCGTGTCCAGGCCAACTCTGATCTGGTAGCACAGATTGCAGCCCAATCATAGCCACTGCTAGGACAGCCATGGTAGGACTGAGATCTTGGCGTCTCCACGAGGTCTGGGAAATTATCCTGCGTGCGGTCTGCCGGAATGAGGGTTCATGGAACAGCAAGATGAACCATTGCATTCGATCGAAATAGACGTCGATTAAGGCTAATATCACGGCCTCTGGGGGAAGCTCTACCTCTGTCAAATGCCATAATGAGTTGTCCAACGTAGGAGCTCCGGTATCACCAGGAATAGATGCACCGGTCAGAGTCCGGCCGGCTTCTTCTTCGTTGAAGACTCGCCTGGCGAAGTCAATCGCGGAAGCATTAGCACCAGACTGCGGCTCTTTTAGAGAGCGTTCCGGATAGAAAGTTGAACTCTCTGTAGCATAAGGTATCTCGGCACCTCCAGTGCCATGGATAAAATTAGAATTTTTGTATGTGGCTGGAGCGATTGCTTTGTGTACTCCAGAATGCACATGCAAATCTCTGGCCCCTGTATTTTGTCTGCGAGTTCGTCTCGCTGTGCGCTGGGATGTCTCGCATTTATGTCCAGCGCGAGCACACAGAACACAAGGACGAGAGCTATCGCACTATACAAACGCTATCAGAACCATAGTTTTAAACCAGGGGGGTGTCGTGAAGGGATCTACCTTGAGCTTCTGGCGACGACATCTGTCACATGCTCGCGATATGCGGAGTGTCTTCTGCAACAGACCGGTCTCTTCCTCCATAAGTATAGTAAGGTATTTGTTTGGTTAAACTCATACAAAAGTCGAAATCTGCAGGTTACGTGTCACTAGAGATCACAACGGGGGTTACAACTGGGGTCCCCGCAATTTCGGGGCGGCCGATTAGCCGCGGGGAACCGAGTTTAGCCTACGCCTCCCAAAGCATAGAAATAGAATAGTGGTATCTTGATTGGCTTCATTCTGTGTACGCTAAAATAAATAAATGCTTTTAATTGTATCAAGTTGCAATCAACCCCAAGAGATGCCCACGAGCATTTTGCGCCTGTGAAAGAACAATCTCAGCCGCAGGGTATGTTTGTAGTAGATGTCCAGCCGCTTCCTCGCAAGCATACAAGTTCGACATGGCCTGCCTCCTCACAATGTCATCCGAGACCTTCAGGTCAGGAAGACTTGCCTCCAGAATAATAATCAATATAGTAATAGTGCTTCCAGGGAGAAAATGAAGCATCCTGCAGTCATGCAGCTCATTGAGAATCTCATTGACTTGCGAAGTCAATCCTCTCATTTCCGAGATGAGAGTAGTCTGCAGACCATCTTCTTGACTCGACGCAGCTTGGTGTAGTATGGACATTGCAGTGAGATGGAGGAGATACAGGAATGCCTGGTGAACGAGGAGGACAATCTCCGGAGACTCTGTATGGCAGTCGTGCAAGAGAGATGGGGAGAAATAATGTGCCGGGGCAGGAAGGTTCTGAATCCAGGTCTTGAGAAGCTGTTCGCATTGAGTTATGGCAGCCTGTGATACATTTGATCTGGGTACCATGGAGTATACACAGTCCCCCGATGGTGATGGTGACCAAGCATCTTGATAAAGAAGATTGATGAGAACGCCCACACAATGAGCAAGCTTAATCTCTTGAATGAACAGAAGCATCATTCGCTCTTGGTTTTCCCAGTTGAGCATGGCGGATGATTCTCCCAGCATAATCAGCACAAGATCGTGGTATGGCTCAGAGGAATAGTATCTTGTAGATTCCAGTAGCGACATTGTGACATCGCTGTTTGGGATTCGTAATGGTCGACGGAAGCCGAGGGAGAGGATGCGGTCGCGCACATAGAGACACCACCACAGTCTATGCTTGTGAGAAAAGCTACCTGTCTCTAAACCCGCCAGGAGACCGATGCGCTCTGCTGTTGAATAGGCGATATCGAACCAGTATGTTGGGTCTTTGTGGCCATGTCCACTTCCATGCCACTGCATCATGAGTAATAATGCCTGGATCTGGGTGTATGCGTCGGGTTCGGTCTCAAATTCATAAAGAAGCTGATGATAGAGTCCAAATTAGTCTCGACTTGCCCATGAGGTCTGTCTTCGCCAGATATCTCACCTTGGCTCGCCCAAATAATGTTCTTCGCAATGCTTTCCGTGATGAGAACCCGGCTTTGATGGCAGTTTCCTGCTCAATAAATGCACTGCCAGCCAACATGACCGCTTGATGAAGAAGTGGGCTCGGGAATTGGGATTCATCCTCGACCATGACATTTAATAAAAACCATTGTAAATCAATGACAGGCAGGAGAGGATGGACATATTTAATATAAGCCCCGAGTAACTCATTCCGAAGATCGATGGGAACTATCCTGAGAGCTCCTTTCAACTGCAAATAATCTTTACTTTCTTCAGAGAGATTCGGAAGCCGAGCTTGGAAAGTTCGCTGCAGTTCGAATGGCTGACTGCACTCCCCTAGAATAAGATCTGGGGTCTGTGGTGAGAGCAGCTCATTTATCGTTGTAAGATAGCTGTCCAAGGGATATGTCTGGGGCACATTGTGCGTCAAGTTCATGTGTGGTTGATTAGATATCGGCTTACTCCCCGATGCGATGAACGGCGCAAAGGAACCTAAAAATGTCAGCAATCATGCAAAAACTGGGGGTATATGCTTGGCACATGTTTCTTACCTGAATTATCCCCGCCTCTTTCGAACCGATCTACATCCTCGGCATTGGAAAAGGCCTCCAGAAGGCCGCTTAGAGAAGGCGGCAGATCCATCGGCACACACACTCCGGTCGCTTGCTCCGCTTGCTGCTAAATAGATTAGCGCTAGTGTAACCTCCATATGCAGTTCCTCTCTCGGAACTCGGGGAAATATTTACCTTGATTCTTGGTGACACAGTGAGAATGAAGCCAGTCGACTGTGGCTATCACGTGCACCGAGGTCTGTTTCGCACTAGAGCTTTGATCGTCTGCACTCGATGCACTTTTGTGATCGTTGAGTTATTTATTTCAGTGTTCCTTTCCAGTGTCTTCTTCGCCTGACTATGTTGCTATGTTGTATGTTGTACTGTGTTGGAGGATTTCCCTTAATATGAAGGGGGATACGAGAATCCGCAGCATCCGTGGGGAAACTCGGGGCCCCGCATTTTCGAGGATCCGAAGATTTTGTTGGTGATGATTGGTTGTTCTTTGTCTCAAATTCCAAATCTAGACTATGGGCCGCTGAAACATTGCGGCGAATGGACAATCATCTTCCACCGGAGCCCTGAAGAGGAACTTCCACCGGAGCTTCCGTAACCAATCAAATTGTTCGAGAAATTGTATGCTCATCTACTCCGTACACCAGAAACGACTTGATTCCTTAACCATGAATAGTTTCAAAGCTACGGAGTATTCAGAAGCTTCTTCGAAACAATCCATCATCCAATCCACCATCTACCAAGGCAACGAACCATCCTTATTAACAAACCCACCAGCCTCCCCATCCCTCTCTCCAAGCACAATCCCCAAAATCCCCTTACCAGACTCCAACGGATCCCCAGCCCTCCCCTGCGCACTAACAGCAGCCTCATCCTCACCCCTCAAATTCGACCTCACAAGACCAGGACAGAACGCGAAAACCCGCACACCACGACTCTGCAGCCGCTTATGCATCTGAACAGTAATCATATTCAGCGCCGCCTTGCTCGCACGATACTCGTCCCAAGGCGCAGCATAAATCTGACTACTGGGATCAGTCGCCAGTTTCATTGAGCCCAGACCACTGGACACGTGAATCAGATACGGGTTTTCTGATTTGACGAGGAGGGGAATGAAAGCCTCTGAGACCAGTGTTGCGCCAATAACGTTGGTAGAGAAGATCTGGTTCAGTCTGGCGCGGCCGCTGCTGTTGGGTGCGGCAGAGCCGGCGTTGTTTATTAGGATGTCGAGTCGATTGAATTGTTCGTCGACGGTGGAGACTGCTTGAGCTATGGAGGTGTCGTCTTCTACGTCTAGCTAGAGGAGGGATAGAGTTCCATTGAGCTTTTTGGTTTGGAGTTCAGAGAGAGCTTGTTGGCCCTTCTGGAGGTTGCGGCAGGCCATGATTACATGGTGGTTTGCGTGTGCGGCTAGAACTTGGGTGGTTGCGTAGCCAACTCCTGAATTCGCGCCTGGATAGAGTTAGTTTGTGGGACTGGAGGTTGAACTTATAGTTGGTGGACTACCTGTGATGAGAATGATGGTTTGTTGAGTCATGCTGTTGTAGTTGCTGAGTTGTTTAGTGGGAAAGGTTTAGGTAAAGAGACGGGATTGTGTCGAGTCACTAAGACAAAAGTTTACTACTTCACTATGGGTACCACGGACTTCAAATACTACATGCACTCAATGAGATCTGATACTATATGTCGGATATAAGCCCTCTATCACCGTGAGGCTTTCGGTGTTAAGCCGGAGACCCCGAAGTGCGAGGTATCCATCCATCCATGTATATGTTGATGATGTAATATGAACCACCCTGTCCCACCTTAGCCTGCATCACAGTCTGGGTCTGTCACGAATTAACCAATCACTTCTAAGCATTGTATATCTCAAAGTTCCTTTGCAGGCTAAGCTTTTTGAGACTTCTGGTCCGAGTATTGCCTTCAATGTACGGGGTACGTGTAGACAGTTTCCGCAATTCAGCCACAAGGTAGTAGTAGTGTAGGTGTCTAGGCAGAAATCAAGAGAATTAGGTGCAGAAAACTTTCATATCGGGCTTTGAATTTCCAGTTTTCAAATATATCTTCCAATTTAAAACAAGAATGATGATTCAATACATCGCCAATGGAGGTATCACCGCTGTGCAATCCATACCCAAAAAGAGCGAGAAAAATCAAGATAGTATGTGACGAAGTAAGACAGGGTAATATAATGACAGCGAGAAGAAAAGTATAGATTTTACTTTTGCGGGACCCGACGAGTCTTTTGATGAGGATGAGGACAGGGAGAAATGCAGATAGTTATACACACCCAGCCTAAAGGAAGAGGCACCTTTTGAGTGAACCACATCACTAAAGGAGTATGGACCATCTGCGAGCGGCCATGCCAGTGACCGCTTGTTTGTCTCTCCAGGTAGCAGTAGCACACACAAGAGAGAGGGAGGGATTAAGAGTGTAAGGAAAAGGGGGAAATAACAAGAGAGAACGAAATAATAGTTTCCTTTGATTTTGCAATCAGAAAACTCGTATTAAGGACGTGACCACGATCCTTGCAGTGGAGGCAGCGGACCCCCAGCTACCGACGGCGACCCGGAAGGTGGGCCAGCAACCGCCCGTCCGGCAGGTGCAATGGGTGTTGAAGAATACGGCGGACTTGCAGGCCAAGCAGGTTGGGACTGAACTGAGTCGATCATTCTTCCCTGTGGAGGCCCACCCGCCGAAGTTGGCTGTGTGCCTGAAACGGATCGGGCAGCATCGGCGCCCGACCAAGACGTCGTGGTGCCCGGTTCTGATGCAGGCAGGAGGGTGGGTTGGGCGGAGCGTGGAGAAGACGGTCTTGGTGGTAAGGTGCTCAGGGACATTGTGCGGCCGAGTTGTTCGCGGTAGAAGTCTCGCTCGGAGCGGTAGTGGTCTCGTTGCTGGACGAGGGATCGGAGCTCCTCGCTCTGGCGACGGACTGTTTCTACATTGCGCTGGATCTCATCTTGCTGAGCGGTGAGCCGCTGCTCGAGTTGCATTTCGTTGCGCTTGCGATTGCGGAACCGTCGTGAGGCGTCACTGTTCGCTTTGCGCTTTTCGGCTTGGCTGGAGGAGCCGGATCGCATGTCTAGTACACATGGTATCATTCCCACTGGGAGGGGACCGCCCTGGGGTGTTCCGGCTCGTGTAGGGGCTTCGGATTGGCGTCTTGGGCCTTTTGTTGCGGGGATGGATCGGGTCAGAGGGTCCATTGTCATATACGGAGGTGCAGTGGGATACGATGCGGTGCTATGGGCGAGGGAGACATTTGTAACTGCTGGGGATGCACGGCCAAAGGGACTGAAATTTGAGTGAGACGTGCTAGGACTCGTTTCTTGGGAGTTCGGGTTGGTGACAGGCCCAGGACCGGCGCTGGTTCGCCTGGAATGCAGACTTGTTGTAGAATGCAGTGAAGTAAGCATAGGAGGCTGAGTGCCAGTGAGAGGTGCTATTAGGCGTAGACCCGTCTCTATGGGCAGAGGCGAACTAGTGACAGGCAGACGTGGGCCCATCAACTGTTCGTGAGGAACTAGCGGTGACTGTGCGACACTTGACTGACCAGAAGCCCTGCCGCCCCCGCCCACAAACCGTGCCGAAGGCGATGCTGGGTTCATCAAAGGCCGTGAATGAGATCGAGGAGATAGCGGCTGCGACGCCAATGCATATCCTGAGCGGGTTGTAGGCGAATTTCCTTGAGGGTGAGGTGAGGAAGACGGACCCGGTAGGCTCAGTGGCTCACGGCTGAGTGCGGCTAGGTCAGCCTTTGCCTGTGGATGATTCAAGATGGCATGAACACCAATGGGTCGCGATGACATGGATTCCAGCGGTGGCTCCACAGGGCCATATGGATGCCATGACTGGGGTCGAGGCCGTTGGGGTGGCCGGCGGGCAGGATTTCGGTTGCTTGTAAATGCACGGTCATTGTCACTCGCACGGTCATCTGCTTGAGCCACATCTCTGGACAATGAACCTGCACGTCGAGAATCCTGCGACATAGAAACCAAATCTCCCACGACGGAGTGGGAGTTATGGCATGGCCGGAACCCCCCTCTCTCCTCGTCGCTAGGTTCTCGAGGAGTGTGAGAGAGGGAGGGTGAAGGTGATGGATACCTATCCGAATAGAGTGACAGATTGGGTGAATGTGAGCCCGAATATGGTGCGTTCAACACACTGATTCCTAAGGCAGCCACGATGAATAGGATGATGAGGATATATAGAACAGGAAAGTCGATTCTCTCAATTGAGAATCGAGGAGAAGGTAATCAATATAAGGAAGCTAAGGAAGCTAGAAAAGCTAGGAAAGCTAAGAAAGATGGGGCGGAAAAGATCCGAGGCCCTTAATAATAAAGAAAAGCTAGGAAAAAGAGACCAAAGTGACAAAGTTAAGAAATTAGAAAATGGGGGCAAGCTTAAGAAGAGAGAGAGAGAGAGAGCCGTTGGAATTAGCAGCGGTGAGAGAATGATCCATCACCTGGTCTGGATGGCTCCAAGACAACTTAGTTGTCTCTCTGTCCGACCCAGTCTGGCGGATAGTTGGGCATCTCCTATGGAGACACCCTAGTCTAAGTCTAACCCCCGGAGTATTGGGCTTCTTCCTTTTTTTTATTTTTTTTTTATTATTTTTTCATTTATTCTTCTTTTTACATTTGGGTTTCTTGTTTTTAGTTTTTGATTTAGATTTAGATAACCATTTAGAATAGTAAAAAATATAGAAAAGAAAAAGAAAAGAAAAGAAAAGAAATCACAGAAATAGAAGTAGACATAGAATATATCCAATATGTGCCATATGTCCAATATGTGCAATATGTCATTACATGACTGATATCACCCCCTTATTATACCCAAGTAGGCAATCACCAAATCCAGCTATAGAGTACTATAATATATCGTAAATCACCTAAGTACCCGGGGAAAGCGATCGTCATGCACAGCACGAATCATCGGGAGCTGCAAGTGTGCGCCGTCACCATGGACATGGACAGGGACGAGTGGAGCCTGGAATTTCTTTTTTTCTTTTTGGCTTCTTTTTGGTTTTTATTTCTCTTCCGTTTTTGCCCTTGTTGCCGCTTTTTTGTTCTATAACACTATTTATTTTGTTTTATTTTGTTTTTCTTTCTCATAGAGTCAAGTTAGGAAGGTTTAGGGCTTTGGCGTAGGAGTTAGTGGACGATAGTATGACAATGTGGGAATCTGGAAAGTTCCTTTCTCTACTCCGTACTTAGGTACTCCGTAAAGAGATGACGCATGGTAATATCTGGAAAGTGAAACGAAAAGAATGCCGAACTACGGAGTACTCCTATTATCGGATCTATACCTACTTGGGTATAGTAAGTGAGGCAATCCCTGGTTGTCTGGCCTTGTAAGCCCTGATCCTGTCAATTTCCGAGAGTTTGGTGCTGGGACTAAACTCCATACTCCTTATTCAGTATTAATCTTGATAGTAAAAGGGGTGCAATATAGTTGAAAAACACAAATAAATGAAACAAAAGAACAAAAGGCAGAAAGGAAGAAAGGAAACAAGTTCTCTACGTTGTAATTGTCAAAGTTTATTGAAATACATGTATGTTGTGCAGCGCCAAATCTTCCCCGTGTCCCGGCAAAAGGGGCCGTTGCCGTTGACCGTTAGGGGTAACTGGGACAGTTGCCTAAGAAATAGTCAGTGGGGGAGGGTCTTTAGCTTAAAACACATTTTACGAATAATCGTACAATATATAACTTGATATTTGTCTTTTTTTGACGTCATTGAACAGGGTAACGCAGAGAACAACGAACACACCCGACGTTGGAGAACCCAGAATCAACTTTAATAAAAAAAAATAATCACATCGTTTCACCAATTCGTGTGACATTGATCTAGCCCACCTGAATATGATGTCGTTCGAATCAGTCAAAAAAAAAAGGTAAATAAACAAAGTAAATAGTAACCAGGTGATAACCTTGGAACACTTCTCTATCACAACCTTGGGATTTGATGCTCCACGATCGGACCAGACGGAAAGGGATCCGGCCAGGATTCCCCTAGCTTCATAATGTGAGCTGCATAAGAGACCCGTGTGGATAGCTCTGTTTCCGGAACCTTTCAAGCTTGTCCGAGGTCACGGGATAATGAATCCGCATGGCAGTCGTCAAATAAGCAGCGGAGATCGCTTTAGTGTCCAGGCGAATGACACTACACCAAAGTGGGTGCTTGGAAATGGGAAATAAATTGGCGAGATTTCAATAAGATAGGCGAGCTGGCGGCGTAGCTGAAGCGCCTCTTCTTGGCACTAGGATTGATCCTCAGACATGGAGTCAGGGCATTATTATCGCCGGAAGTGTTCCATGATCTCCGCGGATTCGGATCTAGGTACTCCATACTCCGTACTTCGAAAGTGGGTAAGTAGGCGCTTGTCAATTTGCGATAGATCTTCTTTTGGATGTGTTGTCATGCACAAGTTCCCGAGGTCGCTTCCGACAGAGTTTGAAGGGGAGCTGTCAGCCTTTTGTTGCAGCAGAGTACCCGCTATTGTCTATTTCTTTTCTTTTCTTTTTCTTTTCGTT